ATTGTAAGCATTTTATAAGCGACAAAGCTGCGAAGAGCTATTGCTGTTATATGACCAAATATATTTAGAATTAATTGAACCTTAAGAAATATTCTAGCAAGAATGTTTTCTTACGTACTAAACTTGGTTAAACTGTTAGAACCCGTTTTTTAAAAGGTTAAGTTGAAATGTGCGCATGTAATGCTTTTGCATGGGTTATAAAGTAGGCTTTAATCCTGTATATCCTTCAATGGGCTACTAGAAGAAATTTACCACTTTGAATGGTGGGTATTTACATTATGTAGCAGCGAATTGTCATTATAGTGCAAGTAATTCGGTTGTCTTCCTATTGAAGCATCCTCTTTAAAAAAAATTCGGATGTTTTCGCTGCTAGACTTTGACTAACATACTATTTTATACAGTAAATCATTTGCTGAAACTCTTAAAAGAGTTGGAGTGACGGCTGAAGCAATTATGTACGATGGGAAGACTCATACAGATGTGTTTCTACAGGTATTTGGTCACTCTGCTTCTCATCGATTTTGATAAATCTGTTCCTTTTCTTTATTGCCGAGACAACTCTACCATTTTTCAATAAGCAGGCATTGATGTGAAATGGTTATACATTTCAGGATCCGATGAGAGGTGGAAAAGATGACATGTTTGAAGATTTAGTAGGATATATCCACGCTGGTGATGCTGAGGCCCGTGCCAGAGATGCAGAGGCTCCTCCAAGGAGACGCCTTGTGCCTGAATGCATGTTAAAACTCGCTCATAGCGTTAGTCCATTCTAGTCTCCAACTAACATTCTTTCTCCATTTTATTATTTTTCTTTGTACATAATCTCATTCACCTCCTAAATTAATTTTCAACATTCCATTCTATTACTAGATTTAGCAATACAAGTAGACTCAAACATTTGCTTCTCATTAATGTTCAATTTTTAATTAAACCTAACTTCACTCAAAAAACTATCCTATTAGTGTGGCCAACTCTTTTTTTTTTCAACGTTTTAAAAGAAGATTAATTTTTAATAAATTTCAAGTCTCAATAATTCAACTACAGTAAAACTTTAATTGATAGGATTAATACGTTAACGATTATTAAATAAATATAATATAATTTTGTTCAATTGAAATTCTGAAATAATAATAGTAACATCTATGCATACATAATAACAAAATAATAAATTAATATAATATTAAGTTATAAGAAATTATTTGACATGATTTCTTTAGAAAGTGATTTGAGTTTTCAAAGTATAATTTTTCATAATTGTATCACACAAGTTTGAGTTGGTTCGATGTTTGTACCATTCTTTCGAAGAAGATATAGTGAGTAAAATGAGGTACTAATTTAATTAGACATCAAAATTTTGTAAAATTAATGGTCTGTTCTATGTGATGGAAATAAATGAATCAAGTCATTAAACTGTAGAATTCCTTGGCTCATATGGCTCAATAATATTTAAGAAACAGAACCGTTAATAATGAGTTTCAAACTCTCGTTTTTATTAATAAATAAAAAATAATTTCATTTCTTTTTAGTTTTAATTGTATGGAATAAAGCATCCATATTGTAACATCCGATATTAGTATATCAATATTATTAAATATCACAAATAAGATATTAAACATAATAATTAATATATATATTTATTTAGTTGTTCACATAACATACGAGCGATTACAGTAGATAAACAAATTACAAACCAAACAAAAAACATGATAAATTAGTGATCATAACAATTCATATTAATAATCAAAACATATTATATAAAAATGACATTGATCTCCATTAATATAATATTTAATATCCTATATCAACAATCAAATATCCATAATACATTTACATTTGACTCTATTTCTATAGAACTCGAGTAATGAGTAGACTAAAAAATTATGCACCTATCGTATGATCTTACACTCCTAAGAACACAAATATAACAAAATAAATTCTTAATACCTGAATGATTCAATCATGTTTATATCAAAACACTGTATTGTAGGAATCTTTTTTAATATACCATAAACTCAAAATTAAAACAATTTAACATTTTAGAGTTTCAAAAGTAAAAGACCCTTCCATTGACAGTCAATAAAGAAAAATCTTAATCTCTTGAAGATTTCTCTGCTCGGTTAATGATTTTTCACGGAAAAGGTTTTTACCCAATTCCAGGTTCTTTTATTGTTTGAATTATATAGGTTTCGTATTAATAGTATTTTTATTTTGTTTTTGACAATTTTTTTATTTTAGTTTGAACATTCCAATTGTCTTATTTAATTATATTTATTTTTGCTGTTAAAAAAATTGTAAGTTTTCTCACGCTTAAGTATAACTTTTCTTTATAAAAGTGTGTGGCCTAAATTCATAAATAAAGCTTAAGAAAACAAAAGAAGAAATTACGAAACCTTTAACTTTTTTTTAATTGAATAGATTCTTTACGAGAATTTGATTATAAAAAATGTGAGATTGTTTCAGAAAATAACTTGGCAAACAAAAATATATTTTTTTTACTAAATTCAACTAATAATTTGAAAAAAAAAATTAATGCATTGAAGTAGTTTTAAACATTTTTGTTAAATAGGACTTAAACTAAAATTAATATATTTATAACATTTTTTTATATAATATTTTGATCTTTAATATACATAAAAAATACAATTCATTTTTATATTAAAATGAAAAGAATAAAAAGATAATAAAAATTATAATATATATATATATATGATGAAAATATGTATTTAAACTAAATTCTAAAGTTAATAAACTTTAAATGTAAAATAGTAATAAACAGAAATCAACAAGAAAAAATAATACTAAAATAATATTAAAAAGTAAAAATATGTCGAGAAATTAAATAAACAAAGTAAAATAAATACTAAATATAAAACAAAAACTTGAATAATAAATCGATAAAATTGACGAACAACAATACTAATATTCTCTTTCTGATTTTCATGTTCGATTTTTACGAGAGTTTTGTTAGATGATATTTTTTCACCCTTATGAATTTATTATGTTTTTCCAATAATGCACTTAATATTTTAAAAGTCACAATCTTCTCAACTTCTCGTAAGATTAAAAATAAAGATACACGATTGTGAAAAATAACTTTGATCGTTGTAACGTTACTATTATGCAATTATACTAATTTTTTCACTAATCATCTCTATATATAACATTTAATTGTATATAAATTGTATTTACTTTCTCCCGTAGATAATTTCTTCAAAATATAAAACTTTAATTCATCAACTAAATTTAAAATACAAATATACACAAATAACAAATATTCACATGAATTTATAGTCCTGGGTCTCACCATTGGATACTCCACTCCACCTGCACCATCCTTTATTCTTATATAACACTATTATAACGATTAGAAAATTACAATCTACAAAAGAAAGTAAGTTAATATGTTTTTGTAATAACATATAAATTTATGAATTGATCATTTTAGACATCAAAAAATCTTGTAAGTCACAGTCAACAATCATTCAAATTCGTCAATAATAATTACTAACATTATATTATACTTTTTTTAAAGACTCAAACATTTATTTAAATTTTGAGATTCTATGCTAATCATATTATCTTCCACTCATATAGAGTTCTATATATTGAGAATTGAACCCTCAACTTATTTGATAAGGTAAATTTTCTTGTGACTTATCAAACTCAATTATTTTTTCACACTATAAGCTATGTCACAGGAACTGTCGTTTCATCACCTAACTAATTATCTTTCTCTATGTGGATCTAATAATTAGTATATACAAAAAAAAGTTTATTAAATTCTCCATTCAATGTGCATTCTATAACCATTTAACATAGAATTTCTTCCTTGAAAATAACTATGTTTACATCACACATAAAAATATATAAGATCAAGTAGATTATGGCTTAATCCCCTGACTTTATTTGGCCTCACACACACCTCTCAGTAGATTATAATCCTTAATTCTATTTGACCCCACATATCTCATACATTTTCATCTTATGATTAAAAACATAATTTTTCTCTTTCTCACTCAACAAGCATACAAGTTCGTCCAACAAGACAACCTTGAGAGTTTTCAAAACAACCTTCCCTTATCACTGAGTGAGTCACACTTAGAGGCATGCTCACCTAGTGAATACTTGGCTCACTCAACAATGAATCTCCTTTGAATTTTTGAAGCTTAAGTAAATTATTTTTGCTTAGTGAGGGAATTGACTCAGTCAACAAGCAAGGATTGGGAAAGTTAATTTTTGTTCAATGATACCAAACTCATCTAGTAACCCAATAACCGTAGCTCTTTTGAATTTTATTAAAGTATTTTCACTTGGCAAATGATTTACTCCCTTAGCGAGTAGGACTTCCAGAAGCTTTTCTCCAAAATCTCACCCAAGGAGTAAAGCAACCTGAGCTCTCTAAATTTTTAAAATTTCATTTTTTCTCAGCAACGAACCAACCCGTTCAACAAGTCTGCATAACCACGAAAAATTGATAAGTATATCAAACTGGTTTCTTGGCTTAAATTGGAGTTTTTAATCTCTTAAGTTAGTTATAACAAGTCTAATTCAGTTCTAAAACATAGCACCAAGCCAATTTAACCAACATAACATTTACACGGTCTCAAATTGTTTCTAAATCATATACAATATATGTTGAATTTCACATCTTAATAATTATTTAACAACAATCATCTCTACTGCTAACATTTTCTATAACAAACACCCTTATTACCTATCACATTCCATCAAATTCTCATCCACACAACTCAATTAGTTATAATATAACAAAAGAAATAACAAAATAACTAGCTTCCCTACCTAGGCTTGAGTTCCTAACTCAAATAAGCTTAATCGACTCAATCTCACAAAATACTTTACTTATACAAAGAAAATTCATATCAATTACGTAAACATCCTAGTGATAATAGACCGACAAAGATTCATTTTAAACCTTTTTAAGTTATATGTTATTACAAATCATCCATACACACAAGAGTAGTAATAAAATATTCAAATACTATTTATAAAAATTTAAGTATTTTCTAGATCTTAGAGTCGTAATAAATGCCTGTTCTCTACCTATAATTTTCATGATATCGATTTTTCAATTAATCAGATCCAATTTCCATCAATAAAACAAAACTTTAACTTTTAGTGAATTTTAACCTCTTCCGTATATTTTACTCCAACTAACTATATACCTGTATCATATGAAACATTTTTTGATATCAAAAGGGGTTAAAAATAGGTAGCTTAATACAATAACGACCAAACAACTTTCCAAAACAAATTTAAGTTGAAACATAATAAGTTATAATAATAATACGAAGAATGATAATACATTAAAGATATATTCAGGTCTCTTTAGAATGGCTCAATCTAAAAATCCAAACTATAAACTAAATCCCATTGCTTTACTGTAAAAAGAAGCTGAAAGTTTTCAATTTTTTTTCTTGTTATGAATTATTTAGATTGATTTTCCTTTTTTTTAAGAAACCATTTTTGTTATGTTTTAGTCGAAATGGAATACATGAATTAGGAAAGGAACCTCTGGTATATAATAACGTGTACGACATTAACTCACCCATAACACATTAAGATAAATTATCCTAATTATCCCAAGAATCACTTACATTTATCTGTTAACAATTTACTTTTTGTTTCGATTTAACACGAAGTTTATCATTATAGCAAATAAATAAAATAAATTTAATACAAACAGTTTTTTACTACTTTTTCTCATCGTTCTAAACTTATCCTTAATTAATTGGGATTACATTTAATCTTTTAAAATATATAGAATTTAATAATACTAATTAAATTTTATTGCTATAAAAGTTAATTAGCTTTTTTTTTATATATTTTTTTTATCTTTGAGTGGAGTAGTGTTATTTTATTTACCACCTACATTTCTCTCATGCA